CTATGTCTGTGTCTATGTCTGTGTCTGTCTGTGTCTCTATGTCTGTGTCTGTGTCTGTGTCTCTATGTCTGTGTCTCTATGTCTGTCTATGTCTATATCTATATCTATGTCTGTGTCTGTGTCTGTGTCTGTGTCTGTGTCTGTGTGTGTGTGTGTTTGTGCGTCTATGCGTCTGTCTCTGTGTATCTGTGTTTAGGGTTCTCTGTGTCTCTGTGTCTGTGTGTCTGGTTGTCTGGGTGTCTGCGTGTCTGGGTCTCTGTGTCTCTGTGTGTCACTGTGCGTCACTATGTGTCACTATGTGTCACTGTGTTTCACTGTGTGTCACTGTGTGTCACGGAGTGCCTTTGTGTCTGTGTGGCTGTGTGTGTGTGTGTGTCTATGTCTCTGTGTCCGGTCTGTGTCTATGTGGCTGTGTCCAAGTATCAGCATTGCACGAACTACCGCCGGATTCGATCAAGCCTTGCATTAAACGAAGCCGCAAAAAAAACAATATTGACGAACTCAGCCAAAAGAGTTGCCAAAAAGATCGGTCAGGCCTGCACAAACTTCTGAAACCTCAATGGATCGCAGGCAAGCACCATCTTCCAGCCGCCAGTAGCAGATGCGGCCATCTCGCCCTCCGCTCACGGCGAAGCCTGCATTGGGCGGAATCTCTCGAGTGCACAACAATGTACAGCAACACAGCTGCAAGATCATGGACGCGTTGGGCACGTTTGCCCCGAAGTTTGTGGAGCAAACGGTATGGTTCAAGAATGTTGTTGCTCGCATGGTGATTGATGGATTTCATCACGTGTATCAGGAACCTACAATAACGCTGGCAGGCACGATGAATTTGGGATTCGACAAGACAGACAGTATTATGGACGACAGTAGAAACTGTTGCGATGTGGTATTGTTCTAACCGGTTTGGAAGGGTCGAAGGGGCCGATTCGGGAGGTCCAACTTTGGAGTTCGTAGTTTCGATTGGGAATGTTTCGAGCAATTGTGCCCGACAGAAACCCTTATTTTGCGTGTGCACTGCCGTCACTCTACCAGGCCAAGCCAGGGCGTGTCTGTCCAGGCTATGGCGGGAGAGACTTTGTCTTCACAGAACACTGTAGGACAAGGATGCTCTGTTCTCCGAACGCACTGCAACATGGACATCATTATGGTTGGGACATGAATGCTCTGTTCTCCGAATGCACTAGAATGTAGACGTCATACGCTTACTGCGCTCCGTCCACGAAAAGCAGCTGAGACTGCTCCAACGCAGAACCAGTTCGCCAGCAACATCCATTGCAAGAGAGGCTTGAGAGCCCACGGCCCCTGAAGCCCAAGGTGAGGGTTTACAGGGTTTCCGCTGTAGTGCCAAGGGTTTAAGGAGCGGGGTTTGATCAGCCTTGTCATCATGAGGCATCATCATCATCATGGTCATCATCGTGTCATGACCACCATCAGTGCGAGCAGCAGCATCGGCAGCAGCATCGTTCATGACAGAAAAATTCGGGGTAAACGTGCCCAACCAAAGCAGCCGAGATCATGCTCTTCGCGGGTTTTGCTGTGAAGGTAATTTCAGCTGCTGCCGTTTGAGCTGTCGTCGACCGGCAAAAAAAGAAGACCATGCCTCGCATGGAGCAGACCCAAAATTTGCTAGCACCTTTACCTTTAAATCGCCCCGCTCCTGCATGTTGCTTCAAGCCCTTGTCAAAGTGAGGGGGTTCGCCAGGTCGGGGAAAAACGCGACGGTTGGGGAAAATCGTGAAGACACCTCAAGCCAGAATTTTATCACCGACGCGGATCTCCCTCTTTGCGATGGCTGTGAGCTCAAAGCTGCTGACTCAGTGGGATTGCAGACTCAACGGGCGGGTGGATCTTTGGGTGCCTCTTGCCTGCACAAGTGAACACGACAGAAACCTGTGACTTTCACAGCCTCAAGCATGCCCAAGCGTAGTTAGCTTCTTTTAGCATGGATAGCTCTCTCTCTCCCGAAGTCTCCCCAGAAGGATTGGCCCAAGTCTGCAAGGCTCGCGGCTCGCCTGCATGGGTCTGGGAAATGCAGAGCACGCCGTCCTTGGAAGGGACTTGCAAGGGCCCTGACATGGCCGTCTGCCTTCTTGTGGCGGCCTCAAAACTGCTAAGCCCCAGACGGTGTGGGCAGACATCTTCCTTTCAACCTTTCCGGACTTGGTGTCCCAAATCTGAATCTGGCCCTTCTCGTCGCCCGCCAGCACTGAAACGGCTGGACTGGATGGGCTTGAGAGGCACCTGTCACATGTCGAAAAACGACAGGAAGCACGATCAACTTGAAAGTACCCGGGGCACCGAGGCACCTGATTTGTGCATCTCCAACTGGAAAAGTCTCCAGAAGTACCGCATCTCGGAGATTCCACCTCCGCAAAGTTTTATCCTCGGATTGCAGGTCTGACTTAACAGAGTCATCGAGCTCTTGACCAGTACTGCCAAAACACACATCGGGATCTGTATTACTTTTGATACCTTCCGAGCGAGAAGCTTCCATTCACGTCCGAGCAAAAGAATGTGGGAGGTGGATAGTACTTTCGCACAGGTACACCTACAAACATCCGTTTACGGTAGACATAAGACACCAGGACACGCGAAAACTGCAGAAAATGTAGACAGACGCCCTTGGTAGCCTCCTCGGAATCACCACACCTCTATCCGAATCTGATTCACTTAGTCGGGGCCCTTCGGTCGCAGGCACAGCACAGAGACAATTGTCCTTTAGACCGCCATTCTGGACTCTTCAGGTGATCAGGTTCAATAAAAGGAACCCTGAGCTCTGTGACGCTGTGAGTCAAACTGAACTGTTGTAAACTCGGTGGCAGGCTATGTATCAAACTCCGGCGAAGTGCATCTGTCTTTGATCTGCAATTCTGTTAAAGGATATTTGATTGGCAGCCACAGCTGCAGACGCAAAGGAAACGAGCAAAAAAAAACGAGACCGCCGTCTCCGCACTCTTCAGATTCGTCAGCCTCCACGGTTACCTTTGTTGTCGGACTTGTGGCTGCGGCCAGGTCCTACGTGCATTCAAGCTGGATTCTGATTCTTGGTATCTTTCAAGGTGATGGCGGGATGATGTGCCAAGGTGTGTGAACCTCTCCTTCATTCTGTTCGAAACGCTTCGCCGACGCATTGCAGGATGAGATGCTTTCTCAATGCTGTCCGGCACCAACACACCGTGTCACAACATGTGGAATTCGCGAAGCTACAGACAGAGGCTGGAGCCTTCGGGCCAACAGTCGACTGAGGTGTCGACCGCGGAAGCAGAGATCATGATCTGCTCTGCCCAATCGACTTGAAGCGAAAGTACTGGAGCAGAGTGCGCCGCGAATGTGGCCAGCTGCTGTGCCGGATGTTCGGCACTGTTGCTTTTGGAAGATATGTCCCACCTATCACATTCGTACGAGTGAAGCACCTCCCTTAAGACATAGCATTCTGTCTCAACAGTTTCGACGTTGCAGCCAGGATTCAGTTCGATCAGCTTGCCACAACCACAAGCTGCCCTGTGCATCTTCCAATTAACAACAAGGCATCCGATGCCACCAGGTCCTCCACCGATCAAGTGGTCGATTTTACCACCATGAAACTTTTAAGCACTAGGACGCTTCATCACATCTCCGTTTTGCTAGTGTCTGTTCTTGCAGCCCATAGTTTTCCTCGCAAATGCGTTTTGTTAACCTGATGGATCCTCAGCCTAAAAACTTTCTGGTGCCAGCGCCTGATCCAGCGAAGGAACGCAGGGGAGTAGAGCTGTCCAGTCTCCACATCTTCAAGTCGGATCCCAAACTCCCGCTGATCATGCGATGATTTTTCCAGTCAACGTCAACACACCTGCTTCTGGATGCATGCAACAACATCGAGTTAGCATGTGACTCCCTCAAGTGCTGCGATCGCATCTTTGTGGCTAACTAGCGTGGGAAATTTTTGCTGCAGCTCAGTAGCAAGACCTCCGATGGATGTCCAGCATAGGTCCGAAGCACATTGCCGTAAAAATTCCACATCTTCAGTGTGTGGTCAGCTGATGCGGTCACCACGTTCCTCACAGCAGAGCTGGCATGGGTTTGGCAACGGATTTTCACCTCTGCAAAGCCGGCAGCCTCGAGGACCAGTCCACGGCGAAGCAATTGAGGTTGAGCTTATGCGGATCCTCCGTCAGGAACTGACGATCGTTCGCTCGTGTAACGTTCGCTCTTGGGTGAAGCATGTTGGTCCAGGCCTTGACTTTCTCTAAGTGCCTGATATCCTCAGCGGGCCAGCGGCCAATCCACTGCTTCAATTCCCAAGCTGCAAGTGCCGCATGCAACACACCAGGTCTTGGCATGTGCTAAGAGCATGGCATCCTCGACATTGGTATATCCTCGCAGCGGTTTCAACGGAGGATGTCAGCGGCGAGATGTCGCGAGATGCATCGAACCACTTTGCACATCTGTCTGCGGTTCAAGGAGCTCTGGTTGTGCGGTGTCCGCACCCCCATCGCCTCCAGAACACTACCGCTTTTGTCGAACTGCTTGATCTCGCCTGTCGAGGCAAGCGGAACTCAGCCCCACCGAGTGGAGACAGCACAGCTTCGCGACGAATCAGCATGTTCATGTCTTTGCTGCCTGTATAGGTAACAGCCATGACAGCATCAAAGGGGATTGCTGCCACGGCTGCAGCCTCTGTTTGGCTTCTTTCCAGCGCGGCTTGCAGATCGGGCACAAGGGATGTCTGCTTCTTCTTGGCGAGGGTCTTCTTTCCGCCCTGTGTCCAAGCCACGAACTCATTGTAATCAATCGCACCTCAGCGAAGCAACGTGCAGCAACTGGCGTGCAGTACGTGTGGCAGCACAGCAGCCGTGATCCCAAACCACCAGCACAAGTGGTTTCGAAGCTCTGACACACACGTGCACAAAGACTTCAGGGCCGGAGGCATGGAAAACGAAAGCTCGGTGGCTTCTTTATCCGATAGATGTCCGCCCGGCAGGTCAGCGGGCTTCTATCCCGCGGGAGTAGTGGAGTAGTAGTCGTCGCATGTCATCGTATGTCGTCGTCGTCGTGGTCGTCGTCATCGTGGTGTAGTAGTAGTAGTAGTAGTAGTAGTAGTAGTAGTGGTAGTAGTAGTAGTACTACTACTACTACTACTACCACTACTACTACTAGTAGTACTAGTACTAGTACTAGTACTAGTACTGGTATAACCGATCCGTTGCAGAACGCGCATCACGCTGCCGCAATCATGCCGCCTCGAGCCAACCCCGGAGCGTCTGCGTCGCGGCGATGCAGAGCGAGCCGGTACGAATGGAGAGATATAGACAGTCAGGAGATGCCAAATGCCAACTTCGGGCTTCAATGCATTACCCAAACAATGCAAACAGGGTCGGCATTCACCCAGTTGATGTGTTGTAGCACCGCTCCGAAAAAAAAAACAATCGTCCATGATCAACCCTTCAGATGTTTCCCTGGAGCTTGGCAGCGTGCCAGGTCTGGTGGGGAATCGCTACAACCTAGTGCGGACACTCAACCGCCTGATGTTTCGTAGAAGCTTGGACACATGCCAGGCCTGATTCCGAAATGTCAAACGCCACTGTGGACGCTCAACTGGTTGATGCTTTGCAGCAGCTTGGCTGCATACCGGGCCCGGTTCCGAAATGCAGATGCCGCTGCGAAATCACAAGCTTTATGCGGACGATCGATCACGCGAGTCGCAATGGCAGATGCTCCGGTACATGAGACTGACAGTCGCTGCAAGCACTGCCAGCATGCCTTTCGCCAGGTAGATGCTGTCTAAATGATTTTAGCGAACCAAGTGTGGACGCCAAAAGAATTGAAAGCGTTCCATATCCTGAACAAACCGCATACAAGTAGTTGACGAGGAGGTGAACCCATGTAAAAGAACAGGAAAGGCATCGCAAAGGCGGGTCGGTGCAAGGCAACAAGTCAAGACAAGACAAAGAGCAGGCAGCAAAAGGTGTGGTGATGGGAGGTCAAAAAGCAAACACAAAAGTTGACATAGCAGAGACGAAAACACCGAATACGGGTGTCTCTGATTGGCGGTCATGTTGGCACTGCCTTCCTGGGTCCATCCGAGTATGTGTGTGCATATACAATACATTAGATACGCGTGTATACATGAACATATATATAAAATGGTACATCATTGAAGTCTGATGGTGATGGCATGGTTTGTTCCTTCTCCAGCATCAAAGACGCTGGGTTGAAGGAACCTGTTGATGAACAAGGTTCTGGAAGAAAGAAGTCTAATGACACTCAGTCCCCGACCCCCCCCCCCCGGAAGGAGGGGAAATCCCGTCGAAGACCCACGACCTTCTAAGCATCAGAAGCTATCAGGGCGGGTGGGTGGAGAAAAGAAGGAATGTTGCACTGTTCAGCTCGGCCCCGATGCTGCAGCAATGTAGTGGATGGTCACACTTCAAGCTTCAAAAAGACTCCTACCTAACCAACCTACTTGTTTGAATGCGAAATATGTATGTATGTATGTATGTATGTGTATATATATATATATATTGCGCACGCACATGCATACTTAGGCATGTAAAAACCCTCTAGTATAGAGTCTTCAAGTTTGCCATGTTTGCTAAGCAACTGCTGGCAGAAAAATGTGTACAGTCACCAAGGTGCCATCATTATTGGTGTCGACTTCACGAAGGATTTGCCCGATTTCCGCGACTGTGATGTCCTTGTTGATCCACGTGAGCACATTCTGCAGCTCGGATGCTGATATCCTGGTAAAAGGGTTGAGGTGAAACTATAACTATAGTGTACGGCATTCAACGTTGCTCATGTCCGATGCCTCCCATTCCCATCTTTGTCAAACTTCTTGAACAGCTCCTGCAGTCGAGCAAGCTCAAGGATATCAAAGCGGCTGAGACCAAGGCGTCCTGGATTTGCGATGCAGACATGTCAGCACCGCGAAAATTAAGAGCCGTGCACTGTCTGATTACAGTGGATAAACGTGCAGTACCGCGGTGTGTGGGTTCTACACCTGTGGCGGGCGATGTTTTCCGCTTCGGGGCTGTGATTGGAGCCTAAAGGAGCTCCACAGGTACGAAATGAAGATCTCCAACTTCGCTGGCGATTGCCGTGCGTCGTAGATACTTCAACTGAGCTCCACAGAAGTTCCGCACAAATCTCTTTTCTTGCCGCGCAGGCGCAAGCACCTATGTGCATGATGAGCTCGAGCTCACCCTACCTCAGTCATCGTCTCCCTCCTCCTCTTCCTCCTCGTCGCACAGTTCACATTAGTGCAGCGAAAACAGGCAGCACCGTAATGTTAGCTATGCGGCCAATGAGGTGGCTCAGTGTGTATGCGTGCAGTCCTCTTCTTCTGAATCGTCTCCTCCTTCACCAATGTCGAATTGCAGTGGGCAGCAAATCGGGCGAGTACGGATAGTGCACATGAAATACAATAAAAGGGGAACAGGTCGAGCACTCGAGGACTTCTCCTGCATTCTGACTGGCTGTAAAGCTCACTGGCAACCCGAGAGCCGCCATCTGCTTCATCTCTTCCGACAACTCTTCCTTGTCCATTCAGTTTGACAGCATTTCTTGTTTACCTTACAACTTTCTCAATGCTCCTGCGGCTGGCCTTTTGCCGCAGCAGGTGCCTGGGCCGGGCTGGCTGGGCTGGAGCCTTCTCGGGGAGCCGTACTACGAACATGGCCTTCTTGGTCGGCACTTCATCTTCTTCCTCCTCGTCGCTGTCGCTGTCGTCGAGCTGCGGTTTGCGGATTTGTGGAACCTGATGGGATATGAAGTTGACCAGCGTTTGCAGCCTCTTATTTCGAACGCCGAGTTGCCTTGGAAGCCACTTTCCCAGCTTTACCACCGTTTCCACCCTTACCACCTGAGAACAGGCCAAGAGGCGCAGCGCGACGTGCAACTTTTATATCACGGAAACATTGAAAACGCCTGAGGACAAGACCTTCGTGCCCGGATCCTTTCCGAGTTTCGCCCTTTCCAGCCTTCCCACCGCCCTTTCCTTCGCCCTTTCCTCCAAACAAGGGGCCAGCACGTCGAGCAACATGGCAGCGCCACGGCAGTACTGGCAGTGAGCAATGGCTTTTCAACGGCTCTTCTGGCACATGCAGAGCGTGCTCCGTAGGAAAGCTGCTCTGCGGACAACCACTGGATTTACTAGATCGCCTGTTCGTCAACATGGTGGCAGCGATGCTGACAACAAACGTCTGATGGCCGTGATGGTTTGATAGTGATTTTCCTCAGCCATGATTGCAACCTGCATAACGTTTATGCATCTAAGATTTTGCAAATTTGCGATGATGATAACTCTCATGGTGCTGATGGTGCCGACGGCGATGGCAGTGATGACGGCGATGATGATGGTGGTGGTGATGATGTGATGAGTTGGCGTGGGTGCTGTGCCCCTCAACGCTCTTGCAGCAGAGTCGTCCTGACGATCAGAGAACTGAGACCTTGCGGTCGCGTCTCATGCTCGACACTCATCCACATCAAGCTTGACGTGTCCGCTCAGGGCCGAAGAGCGCGCACAGATCCTGCCACGGGACAGCCTACAACCAGCTTCTTTGAACTTGTCTTGGGCAACCGGCGACGGTGCCGATGGTCCAGACGCGGGGAGCAGAAGGAAAGAAATCCCCGACGGTGTGGGGTTGTGGGGCTGTGGGGTTGTGGGGGTGGGCGGGCTGGGTAGACGGACACGACAGCAACAGCACATATCCCTTCGACCTTGACTGTCTTGTCGATGGCTCGGCCCTTAGCGTCGCAACACTCAGCGCGGCTGCCAGGTCCGGGTTTCCGGAAAGTTCGCTTCCTGCCACTCTCGACCCGCCTGCATGGTGACGCCGGAATGCAATTCTTTCAAAACCTTGCCAAGCACAGAAACATGATGCAAACATGATCAAAAGGCAGTTGTGACCATGACTGCAATCCCTGTTCCATGCGTTGTTGTAGCCTTTCATCACAAGTGCTGTTGACATTGTGCAATCGCGAGAACTTTACTACACTCGAGTTCGAACCAAACCCATGTTTATCAAAAACAATCCCAAGGTGGGCTGACAGTATGATTTCAGACTACAGCCACAAGAAGGAGTGCGGTTCGAGCTGTTGGTGAAGTTGTTGCGGCACTGGCTTGGATTAAACGATGAACAGTGACGCTGCTGTTCACCTTGAGTGACCGAAGCCGAAGCACTGCCTCTGTCAATGCCGGAACTGCTCGACTGAGCACAGCGCAGGATTTGCCAGTCAGGGCGTCGCATCTTTCTGCTCGGAGTACACGAGGTCGCTGTAGTAGCACGTGTGCTTCTGCGCTGCAAGGATCACATGGATTGAACGACAAAACCTACGTTTCGCTTTGAAGAAACGATGCAGGACAACACACGGCAAAGGTCAGGCTGAACTGTCGGCCTTCCACGGAAAGCGATCGCGGCATTTGTTTACGTTTCCATTCAAATCCTCAAAGACCTGGCAAATCAGATCTGCACACACGGCTGTTGAGGCGAGAGAAAGCAGAAAGCCTGGGAGATAAAGCTGGCAATCAAATGTTTAATGGCAGCACGGCGGGCCAAGCGCGGGAGCCAGCTTGGGGCCAAGACCTCGCTTTCACTTTAAAGACTTTACCTGCTCTACCCTTTTCCTGCCAGCAGGTGCCACCACAATGGCAACGACCCGAACTCAGCTCCGTGGAGTAGAGTTGGTGCTTCAACTGTTCCCATCTGTGTAGTTTGCAGGGCTCTGCTGCAAAAGCCGGTCAAACAGCTTGCCAACGGGCTGAGAGGTCCACCGCATCGGCCCGAGGGTACAGGAAGAAAGGCGTGGAGATGCGATGCTGGCATGTGGAGATAGCATCATGAGCGCGATCAGAAGAACAGGAGCAAGGCCCCACACCGCTCTCCCTGCAGGTCCCTGCGCTGCCTCCGTCGATGAAGCAGTAGAGCCTTGACAAGCTGTAATGTATGACTATGTGTATGGCCTCATGTTCTGACCAGCTAACCCATGGCTGAGGCAAATACTGCCTCTGCATACAGCCGGCCTGCGACAGCTGCGGCATCAAACCCAAACACCGTACGACATTTTCTCGAAGCATCTCAAAGCTTGTTGCCTCAATGATTCGACAACCTTCACACGCCCTAGCTCGAGGCTTTCTAAAGTTTAAAAACCATTCGACCTTGACAGCTAGTCGACACCCAGTCCCTGGTAGCATCACAAACAACCCTCTCGCAAGTCGCAGCCCTGGTGAAGAATCTGCATCTGCCAAGTGCAGGCATCACTTCTCACATATGCCCTCTGATCGAAACAACTACAGGTTGCTGCTCAGAGCAGACATTGAAACCTTCCTGCTAAAGCAACGGCAAGCACTCATAGTCTTGCCTGTGCATCAAAGCAGGATACCTGTGGCCAGAAGCATAGTCCTGGCACCGAGAACATCCGAGAACCGTCCAGGTATCATGCCCGGATATGCCACTCGAGATTCTCAGCCGGGGACCAATGGGTCTCCAACAAAGAGAAGTGCTTCACCATCATTCAACAAGTCCTCGGGCGGTGAACAAACGCATGTGGGAATTGAAGTCGTGGATGCAATGCAACCTCGACATTGAACCACTCGCCGGTCTGCAGATCCTTCACCTGCTGCTGAACCCACCGATATTACACGGTGAAGGTCCCTCGCAATCACTAGGAACCTCCAACCCGGGTGCAGAGCTCTTCGGTGCGACTGTTATCAAGGATGAGTCCGTATGGGCCGGATACCTTGGCTCAAACACCGTCCCCATACGCCATACGACATACGATCCAAGCGCCACACATCCCAGGAAAATCAGGCCGAAGCATGCGAAGTTTGTCCTATCTGATGGGCGCAACACGAGCGATAAGGGAAACCACACGAAACATGCCGGGGCGTCCAATCCCACTGTGATTGATTTGCTCCCTCTAGCACCCAGAATCGCCTGCAGAACGGGTCGACAGCAGAGCTCCGTGCAACAAGAAACTGAACGCGAAGTTGGCCCAGCGGTTGGCCAGCTTCACTCAACTCACGTAAGACGGGACTGGGATGGGTGCCAAACTATGCTCGCGTCTGTTCGCAACCCTGCAGAAGCCGAATCCTGTGCTCAGTGTTTTTCGCGCGGTTACGGTCGCACGACACCAACAGCTTTCGTGCTTGTGCTTCCAGGACGCTGGCCGCGAAGAGACTCGACTACAGGTACGGAAGGACGGCGCTGCAATGAATCAGTGAAAATCCAAGATCAAGCAAGGGACACCCCTGACGATCTCTCAGGCGAGGCCAGCGGAAAAAGGCCCAAAAAGTAGAGCTTCGTTGGCCTCGAGAACTCGACCTCAGCCAGGCGGCCGCTCCTTGAGCCGCTCCTCTTGGGAAGGCTCTTCGTCACTTGGGAAGAGGCCCAAGGGTGCCGACGCCTGCGGCGTGACGTCGGCGGAGGCTCTCGCTTCAGAGGCTCCGTCGGCACTCACGTCAGTAGAGGGCCATGCTGATGCGACGGATCCGCGGAAGTTTAGGTGAAGCTTTGGCTCAGCTGAGATTCGTGGCAACATGTGACTATATACATGTGACTATAGACCTGTGCATGAGTCTTCTTCGAGACGACGCGGGACATTACTGCCAGACCATAGGGACTCGGCAGCCCTGCTGATCTTCACAAGACCCCGCACAGCGACGAGACAAGGAGTGGCTTCCGACAGATGCACTCATGCTCCTGAGATCCAGCTTAAGCCTTGCGATTCATGAGCAGCAGCAGGCAGCACGAGCGATGGCTTGGTGCTGATTGGACATACCGATCGCAAGTCTGCCCACGGTTTGACCTTCTTGTCACTGAGTTGAGTAGTTGCGTGACGGTCGACGGAAGTGCTACTATTGCAGAATCCCGCTGGCAGAAGCAGTTGAAGTAGCAAAGGCCCAGTGGTGGGGGACTTCCGCGTGGTCCCTCCGCCGTGCAACTTCACTGGCGGTTTCATCTCGATTTGCCGTAGCGGTAGCGTCACTGGCCGTGGGAAGGAAGTAGACTTGCGGGATTGCGCCGGCATCAGATCTGGGACTTCATTCAGAGGCTGCGAAAGCCAGATCCAGGGGGGATGAGGAAGGCAGAGGCGCTTGTGAGCCCTGCAAGCTCTGTGCACGAGCAGTACTCACCCAAAGCTGTAATAAACTCTGTCACACACAAGTCTGCACTGAAACTTCCTGGCCGAGCACCTGTCTTGAATGCCTGCAGACCCAAAGTTCAAATTTATGAAAGGCAAGGTCCGGAAGAGCTAACGAAGTTTGAAAGAGGACGGCACGGGAGCTCGAGCAGAGAGGCAGAGCTGGCCTCCGGCGCCCCCGCGAGCGACACTTCGAAGCCCTCGTCCATACCAGTCACTGTGCCCTGCAGCCGAAATCGCTGAAGCATCAACACCTATCACTCATCCCCCAGCACGCCAGGCTGCCTTGAGCCCATTCAAAGCGACTTCACCACCTTGCAGATTTACCAGCCGCACCTGACCAGGCTCTGAATCCGTAGCTTCAGGGCCTTCGAGGGAAAGAAACAAGAACGGTCTCTTGCCCAACCTCCGCTCCCACAGCTAAACGTTGGCCGGTCACCTGGAGCTTCTTCAGTCACGAATAGCTAATTGGCGGTTGAAGCTCATTCCCTCTCACCGGTCCTTGGGCAAGTCTGCAGCACCCCTACTCTCAAGAGGGCGATCGTAGTGTATACACCTCGGTCATAGAAAGCGAAGACTGCTGTGACATGAATGCCAATTCCAGTGCGGCTAAACCCAGCTTGTAGTGCGGTCAGATCACCGCATGGTTGATGAGGTGTCGCTCGGCATCTGCTGCAGATCAACGCCGATGTCGCAACCAATCTGATCCATTTCCGACCCACAGGCATGATGACTGAAGCTACTCTATTCTGCACCCTGCGCATAGACGCTCAACGCCAAATTGTCTGAAGTTCTGCAAAAGACACTAGGAAACACAAGCTGTTACAACATGCTACAACCAGGTTAGAAAACTGAGGAGCTCCGCAC